GGCTCGGGCAGGGCTGGGGAGAGAAGCACTACCTGGTGTTTAATTCCACGCTTTATTCAGCAGAAAAGAGGCGTTGCCTTGGAAGAAGTGAAAATGGCACTGCCTGTAATCGGTGGTAACATTCAGTGGTTTCAGTTCTTACTTCTAACATCTCTAACATCTGTTAACAGGCTGGAAGAATCATGTTTGTGGTAGTTTATGCTTGGACTTCATAACTAAGAACACTGGTTTTAGTTACTTCTCAGTATGGGCAGCACCAGTAACATTCCTTTTCGGTAAAAAAAACATACCATGCCGACTTCACGGTGCTGCTGTAACTGCTGTGTTGGGTTTTGTTTCGGTTCTCGTTTCCGCTTTATTACTTCATTCTCTGATCACGTTGCCGACGCTTTGTCGAGCACAACAAAAAACAAACCCAAGGGTGATTGAAAGATGAGCAAACACGCCTTGAGTGAGTGACCTTGAATACTCGGCAGAAAACCTTTGCCATTGCCTGCTCCTCCTCGTGTAGTTACCACTGAACTTCCTGTGCACACCCTTTGACCTGCTCATCTGATGTATGAACTATCCCAGTTTAATTACTGGAGTCCATACAATTGGGTCAACAGCTTTTCGAGTCACACCTGTACTTTGAAGGGTGTGAAACAAGTCTGAATTAAACTCCATATGTTGATTAAACAGGAACCACAAAGTCACGTGTATGTAAAATGTTGCAGTTTTCCTTATTATCACCTTGGTCATAAAACTTCAGATGACAGATCCATAATTACTGTAATACAACTTAGTTTTAGACAACTTCACTTTGACTATGATTAGTCAATTTTCCTATTCACAGAATCTAATGAGAGATTCTGAATGGTAAGGAACTGCAGTCAGCACTTGTGCTTCAGTCGAATTTAACTTCAAGTTCTCATTTCAGAACACTGACAGAAGGGAAGGGATGTGTATGAAAAGCAGTTTATCCATCAAAATCTCTGTAAGCTGCAGTCAGCTGAGTGCTTTGTCTCACTGCTGTAGCTCTCAAGCACAGACATTCTTATCCTACTAACTTCAGGAAGCATGACAATAACCTTACACTACCATAGTCTTCAAATTAAGAGTTCTCTTAATTGCTTCTCTGAGGTATTTATTCTGAAACATTGTGCATTTTTTTTTAAATAGGATGAGGTTTTGTGAGTCAGCTGAGCCAACCTAACTTTCTGTTAAGAGGAAAGCTTTATTTACTCATCCAGGAAATTAAGGAGCTTTGAACTGACTCCTCATTTCTGCTTAATAAACTTGGCATAAAACTAATCCAGCAGTCAAGGAAATGCCTGCCACTTATTGAAATGAATGAGCCTTCTTGGGGCAGGGGGTGCAATGAGAAAAGCCACGTATCTGTGAGGAAGAAGACCATAAGATCATGTGGTCACAAATATTAAGACAGCTTACTTGGGAGATCTTATTCCTAACAATGGGAACTGTATTCTCCCTATCAAAGTAATGTTACATACAGGAGAATAATCAACTGCACAAGGAAGAAGACAGAGAAAAGGCTATGTATTAGTTACAGAAGTGCAGGAGGGCAGAAATAAAAAAATGCAACCATGAACAAATGGTGTTTATTATTCCAGAAAAAAAAGCAATTTGGCAAGTATTAAAGAAGGGAAAGTGTATGAATGACACTGATAAGGCACCACATAAGGAACAGTATCTGTAGATACTGTAAAGACCACCTATAAAATATACAAATGACAATTTACAGTATCGGGTTTCTTCATATAACAGAAAAATGAAAAAAATTTCTCTTTTGACTTCCTATGTCTACCTTCCAATGAATTTATGATTGTTTGCACATCCGTAAGGGATCTTAAGCAGAGCAATAGTTTTCACATTCCTGTTTTCCACCAACTAAGGCTCAGCTAAAGTATATAATCCATTTTACGCATTTCCAAGGGTAACAAAGTATCTTGGATTAAGTTTTGTGAATTATTTTTTCATGTGGAGCTCTCTAAAAGTTCATATATACTTTCTTGTTCAGATGAGACAGGCAATTTAGAATTTTTCAGGTAAGGAGATAGGACAGCAAATAGTATTTAATCAATATCTACATTAGCAATAGAAATAAAATGCAGTACTTTGTACATTTCTGTTTTAACTTTTAAGCCAAGGAGTTACTGACAGTTATTAACTCTGCGTATTAAGTTACTAAAATATCCTGCTAATCAAGTGCACACAGTTACCACTTTCACTCCTGTACTCCCATTTCATATTACCACCAGACTTCAAAAAATAATCCATGAACCAAAACACATAGCTTTTCAGTTATCTAGAATTCAGTAGTTAGCAAAGCAACAGGTCATGCTGCTTCAAAATTATTTTGTAGTTTTCACCACTGCTTTATTTGGAAGTGAATTGCAATACCATGACACTATTCAATAGTCACATAACTGCAGATCTAGCAGGATTTAAGTGCTACTCAAACCACTGTAAGACAGGGCAGAGGGTTTTTCTCCTTGCTCAAAGGAACAGCAGGATTTCAAGACTTGACATTGTTTATGCTGTTTTAACAGGTGCAACAGCATAAAATAAAATTATTTGTGTAACATGCATATGTGTTACATGTTTTCCTGCTGTTTACAGTTATGCTTTCAATAACCATCATTCATTTTGAGGGCAGATTAAAACATCTACTAGTAGGAAACTGTTGTTTCACATACTCTTTTTCATTTATTTCCTAATGCAGAACGTACAGAGCATTTAAGTAAGTTAAATATAGCCCCAGATGTTAACAGAAACAAGAATTCTGAGCAAGTTCTTTCTAGAGTTGGAAGAGACAAGAAGAATCACTGTGAGTTATCATCTGTGAGACCTCTTATCTTGGCTGTCAATCACCAGCCAGAAACTGTTAAGACTGAATTCTTCCTACTAGACTGATTTATTGCCTCTACAAAGTTGTGGGGTTTTTTATAGGCAAGGTTGTTTAAGGCTGCTCCTTAAAGAGTTTTGCCTGGTGTAATTAAAATTAGGAGTTTAAAAAACATGCTATTACTCAATTAAAAGTGAGTCTGACATTTTATTTTCTAGTTACAAGATAGGGCATGAAGCCTTCAGAATCTTTTGACTTCACAAAAAAGCATTCTGAAGTTTTTTTTCATAGTTGTTGAAGCCGAACAGTAGTAACACAGCTTGTTTTTTGTTGTTAGTTGAAATCTAAACAATGTGAGATGCAGCCAGTTTGTGGTTACATATCTTTTGATAGTGTTTAGTGAAAGACTGACATAACCAATGTTCAAGAAGAGAATGTAATGGGGTAAGCCCTCTTCCAAAAAAATGGTGGAGTATTCCTAATAGGAAGCAAAATGCAGAGGCATCACAGGGCAGGAAAAAGTGAATTCAGCTACAGTGAGGTTCCAAAGGAAAGTTTTAGAGGAAACTCTGGATAGGACTGGTTCCTCTCCTTTAAGGGAGAATTCCACTAACACACTTACAGATTTTCTTCAAGGGACTAAATGTGTGCATGTCTTATATAATATACTTCATTAGAACTAAGTGAGAGTCACCATGTGGTTAGGATTCAAAATTTCAATCCAGTAGCCATCAGGATCCTGAACAAATGCAAGTCCTTTCATTTTACCTATTAAGAAAAAAAAAAAAGACAAAGTTAAGATTACATGACTAGTACTTCATGTCAAATATGACTACTTTGAATTGATTTGTGCATGCTAGTGAGCACTAGATGTCCATTTTGGAATGCATTGTCCTAAAACTCTCATGAGGTCTCTTCATGAAAGAGAATCCAGTTGAAAAATGCAAGACCTCTCACCACTCATTTCTGCACTTTAGGCTATTGTGACATAGACATTCTTTATGTACTCTCTAGACATATGCACTACACATTATGCATTTTTTACTAAAAGCTATACAAGTCAAATATGATATAGACTAATTAGGCTATTTTACCAAAGATGACAGAACGGTTAAAATTATAAGAGGTAGTATGTGACACTAGGTGGATTTAACCAGAAAAGTCAAGAGTTACTGAGTTTTAATGGGTGAAAGTAATTGTCTTCCGAGTCATCTTATTTTCATATGATAAGAACCAAACCAATATGAAATGTGGGAATTTGAGCTATGTTAAGGTAAATTCTGTCATAACGAGGTGGTAGTGTAACAGGATGCTCCATCTTTAAATATGCCTGCCTCAGTTTCCGTCTATGATTCAACTGCATTTTGTCTCTCAGTTTTGCAGACCCAGGCCTGAAGTGGAAAGATTCCCATGAGAAAGGAGAAGGCCTAGCAAACTCTGAGCTGATAACAACCTTAAAAGGTACAAACAGAGGCCAAGCTGCTCTCTGGTGTCAAAAAACACGGAGCCCAGCCCAGCCACAACTGGCCTGAAACAGAGATAAAGTAAGAACGAACAGATAAATAAAAGAGTTTGCTTGGTAAGAACATGGCCTTTGTAGTTTTTCTACTGTTTTCTTTTATTCTTCAATGAGAGATTTTGGAGGTACTGCTAAGTAGTTAAATGACAGCAGTCAATCCACTTTATTCTACAAAAGCTTGGACCTGTCTTTGATCAAGGGGACTCCCCATACACTTTCCCAGGAGGTTGCTGAACCTTCTCACCAGCAAAGATGCCTGCCAGAGAGACTGATTCTCCAGAATTACAATCCACCAAGAGACACCCAGATGCAGCCCAGCAGGGGTGACAGATATTAACTCCTTTACTGTCTTAGCAAACTTAAGTAATTTTCATCATTAATTTTAAGATTATAGAATCCTTTAAAATGGAGAATTAATGTTCTAGACCTAGTATAAAACTTGATACTAAGTAAGTTGCTAGCATTTTAATGGTTAACCTTTATTGTTTGACCTAACTATAAAGTAGTAAATTGTATTGTTAGGATACTTTTTGCATTCAAACTTCAACTTCTGATCCGATCTCCCAATTTCTCTACAATTTGACTGTGCTCATGCCTGCCACTTTAAGGAGTTAAGACCCCAGCGTTATACGCAATAAATCTTGATCTGTGCATGTGTCTTGTCTGCCATCCCATCCCATTCAGGACAGGTAGTATACAGAGTAAACTATGAACAGAGCAGGTGAATTTTAGTGAAGGTCAAACTACATACAGAAGGCTAGCTAAACTGGTTAACTACTATTACCAAGATTAATCCACTGTCAGTCCTGCTGATTGTAATAAGGTGCAAGGGTAACTGGTTCTAGAACCTTCTAAGCAGTGACAACCTACTAGGAACCTATTAGCCAGCTTTCCACAAAGACCTACTAGCTAGAATATATTAAAAATAAGGAAAAAAAATTGACTTGCATTTTTGGTCAAGACTTACCATCATCTGGTTTCTTCACAAATTTCACTCCTAGTTCTTCAAACCTCTTACAAGCTTTATAGACATCAGGAACAGCAATTCCAATGTGTCCTGTGCAACACAGTACAAAGAGTGAACTACAGTCTTAAGTATTGCTAGGTTTTCTGGCAAAAAGTCTACATGCTGTAGTTCACATAAGATAGGACTGTATACAAGAAAAACATTGCTTCCAGAAAGATGAGAATTTTGGGTATTAACATAATTCTCCTTGAGAAAGTTGGCTTCTTGATAATGTCTTTTAAAATAGGAACATCAAAGTTAAAATATCTCATACTGTTTAGATAAGAATATTATTTAGAGCAGGAAAACCCAAGATTTTCAATCAAACTGTTTTATCTGCATTTCCTTTTTTGAAGCATGTCCACATAACAGTATTTTGCTGCATTTCCTCAGTTCAAAAGTACAAGGAGTTTATCATTAACGCTGTTAGTATAGACTAACAATAACACTACGCAAGGCCTGATCTTACAAATTAATTCAGAAGCTTTAAATGTCAAGTGACTAGACTGAGTATGAAACTTATCTCACAAGCCAGTGACCTTTCAAGGACTCAAAATATCAAGTCGAGTCACACAAATACTACCCTCATTGCTACAGAGTACTCCTTCTATCTTAAAATGGGCAACCATTTTTCATTATTCATAAAATAGAAATCCAAATGTCATTCAGTCTAAACACCATGATAATCTGATACATAACAGCAATTACTGTTATTCATTCAGTAGTTACCACTAGCATGTTTTTGCTTGCCAAAGGATGAGATTCTCTATAAAAAGTGTAATTGTGGATTATTACTGTGAAACACATTTGTTTACATATTTTAACAATCTCTTCATGCTGGAAAAAGACACATAAAGGGTGAGATGCAAGTTCCATCCTTTCCTAGTGCTAAGAAGTTTTCTTCAAAGTAACCTACTAGAGAAGTCTTTACGTACACTGTTAGGGTTTGCATGGACCCAGGAAATTGCTGACACTTCTGAGATGAATGAGAGTCTTTAGGACCACGAAGGACCTGGGAGGGTCAGAAAAGTGAGGGATCAGTATTCCCTCCCACTTCCTGCCATACTCTGTAAGTGCCAGGAGAACTGGAAGTTCAGCCCTTTTTTCCTGTGCCTTTCTTCCTTGCTGCTGGTGCTGCTCAGAGGTTCTTCAACTCATCATGTGCTCTGCAGAATCCAACTCTATTCGGTGCTCTAAGGAGCTGTGGACCCCTCTACTCAAGTGGCCTTACCACATGGGACTCTCACCCACCCATTCCTTCAGTCATCAAGATCTGTTTTATATGTACCTGTACATAAGTTTATACATGTTTCTCACCCCATGTGTTACTTCATTTTTCCATGTTACAGTAAACTTCTTACAGTTTCAATTTCCAACCTTTAAGTCTTTTTTCCTTATTCCCCTTTTATCTTCCCTTGGGAGGGTGAAGGGGGGGTAATACAGAGCAATTCTTCCCTCTGGTTTGTGGTTCACCCTAACCACTAAACTGAGATATTCATACAAGTTGAAAATATTTTCTCCACTAGTTCTCATAAAAATAAAGCCTATGGTATATACTTACCCAATAACATCTGCACAGAACCTATATAGATCTTTTCTAGAAAAGATTTGAAACTCCATTTTCCTCCCAACACATGAGAAAAAAATGTAATCGCAATAAACAAAAACTTTAAAACTACAAACACAAAACTGAAGACCTACCAAATCCTCGGGGATCTGTATTGCCATTGTGGTAAGACTGATTTTCATCATTTTCAGTGCCCCAGTTGCTGTAAGAAGTAATTATTACATATTGGAAAAAGGATAAAAAAATAACAAAACCTAAATGTTCCATTTTCTCAAGAGGGTAAGTTGTTCCTCCTAAGAAACTGGAGATTTTCAGCCACTGGCTGCATTTATTAAACTATCAAGATTTTCCTTAATCACAGTTTCTAGGGATAGTCTCAGGGCTCATCCAATCAAGTTCAAAGCCCTTCACTAGCATTCAGGTTTTACAGTTTAATGAACCAGAGACACTTCTGCCTCATTCAGATTAGAGAATCAGTATTGCTGCATGAGTCAGTTTATCTTACCATCAATGGTACAGTGATGGTAGCAGGGTCTGGGGGTCTGGAGCCAAGACAGACAGTGGGGTATCTGGGAGATTCTCCACAATTACAATTATTAGTAGCATTAACAAAGCCATCCTGTTTATTGGAAATGTGTATTTTGACTTAACACCTCTTTTGATCAGATACCATAAGCAATAGTTATCCATTACCAGGATGCTCTGGGGATCCAAAGAAAGTTCTAACCACACTGGGTCTTCCTAAATTGTGGGGCTTCCCTGCCCAGCTGGCATGCATTCTCAGATATAGGAAGCATTATTTCACGTTTATGTTCAAGTGTTCACCTAGCACTTTGAAAGAACTCCAGAAGAGAAAGATTAAGCTTGCCAGGTATGCAAGATCTCAGCTGTATTTTAAGACTGTATGACAGCGAAAATGCTTCCACAGTAAATATTATAATTTCTATTCAATCCAACAGACTTTACACTCATCCACTTCTGTTTAATCACTGTGAGAATCACAGCTAATGTTAGCTAAATGTCATCTCTCATTGTATTAATACTTACTGTGTCAGTTCAAGTGTAGCTTTTCTAGAGAAGGTCCAAGGTGTTCTCTCAGCTTTATCTTTTGGGATATCTTTTTTATCTTCATATGCCAGGAAATAGAGTGAGAACTTCATAGTAGGAAAGTCAAATTTTTGAAGCAGTCTAAATGACAAATATTTTGAAATAATAACTTTAAAAGCTCATCAGATAGCTTATAAATAAACCAAGATGCTTTTCCCATAGAAGAATTATCGCTGTGATTTTTTTTTGTCTTTCTGACTGCAATCCACATCTTAAAGTAGATACATTTTGAACTACCACATAGAACTATTCCAGAACACACTACAAACCTACAAAAATTAGAATAATCAACTGCTTAAAAGCCAATCTAACAGTAAGTGAATAGCAAAGCCAGTAGAAAGTCTCAAGTCTTGAGAACGCCACTCTGTTATTTGTCTGCATTTCTTCAGGAAGATCTTTATGTTTATACGCTTTAAAATACCACCAAGGAAGAAAAATATTAACTTTGAAACTACTTTGTTCTTGGGAGCTCACTGGCAGCAGACAAAGCTAATGAATACAGCAGAATTTAAAAAAAAAACAACATACCTTTAAATAAACCAAACCTTTTAATACCTTTAAATAAACCATACCTTTAAATTTCAATAGATATGTATTATGATAAATTTCAAATGTGACAATTCAGTCAACTAAAAACTACTTGGTGAGAAAAAGCTGCCTAGAAAATTTATCCCTTTGCTACATGAAAGAAGTCACTCACTTTCCTATTAAATATTTGATACAGCTTTATTTTCACCTAATGTTCAGAGATGGTGCACCATACATCATTTTTACGTAGGACCTTTAACCAGAACAAGTAGGCAGGCAAAAGAAATCTAATTCCCTTTTCAGCTTTTAATTTTTTAATTTAGTTTTTATTTTCTCACAGCCACATTTCCACTAAAGTGGAAGTTTAGTTTATTTTACTTTAGTCTGGAGTCATTTCAAGATGTTTGAAAATATGCTAGAATTTTGTTTTGAAATAACTGATTTAAAACGTTAAAAATGTGCACAGAGCCTTAAGATAAACACATTTGGCTACTTCAGGGTATCTGCCTCCCAAGAGCCCTCTCGAAAAGACAGTTTGGTCCTTGTCTCCAGCTTCCATTGCCTTGGTCTCTTAAGAGTAGAGGTGGTCATAAGCCACCTCTGAGAACTACTAGAAAACTTAATTTCAAGATTTATAGCAATGACTCCTGCTTAGAAGCACTGAGATAAAAGTTACCAGTCAGCTACAGGCTCAGTGAGGATGAAAAAAGCACATTGTACACTGATAATTAATGACCTATTTAAGAAAAAAGAAATTTCTAGTCAAAGCCAGCATTAGTTTGTTTGCAGCTTTAGGAATTAACTGTGCTGTGGGAATTCTCAGAGGTTGCCAGATTGTCCAACTAGGCAATCAGCTGATGGGCGAGCTTTTTTTTTATATAGTCAGACCAATTAGTATGATTACATCAAAATAACAATAACTTTTCAGAAGAATAGTACAAAAACAATACAACTTATTGTGGCATACATCTACTCACGTCATTCCAAGAACTCTTGTATAAAAATCCAGTGACTTCTTAGGATCCTTTACTCTTAACATTGTCTGCTGAAACATAAAATCCTGTGGGGGGAAAAAAAGGTTTCTTATTTATACATCAGCCAGAATTACGGGTATTAACAAAGATACCAGTTAATAGTGAATCTAAAACCAGCAAGTTTAGAAGTAACAAATAGAATACACTACATTAAGTGTAAACAAAACCTTTGTCCTGATCCTACACACACAAACTTGTGTGAAATATTATCACTGGCATGAAAAACGGAGTGTAACTCTTAGCTTTATTATTCTTTTATGGAGCTGTACTGCACATGAACCGCTTTGCTTACAAGCACACTAGGCACATGAATACCTGATCTTTGGCCTCCTTGCAGACACAATTTAAACAAACTGCACAGGTGCTGCATTTCTGCCGGGCCTTATGGTACCCGGCTGCAAAAGCGGCCTGCAACTCTGTGAGGGTATTTTCCTCAGGACACAGGCCAACTAGATCCCGCGGGCTAACGAGCAACTAAGCGGATGAAAAGCGAATAGTAGCACAGCCTTGGCACAGGTACTTTACAAAACAACAAAACCCAGAAAACAAAACACACACACACAAAAAAAGGTGCAGAACAAGTGAAATACAAGGTATTCTAACCAAAAAGCCTGGGGTGGTGCGGGGGGGTGTGTTTTGCAGCCCTGGCTGCAGAGCCCCCGGGGCTCGCAGCTGCCCCGCGGCCGGGCGCGC